GTATAAATCAGTGACAACTGGTGAATCGAATCACAGATTGGACTTCAAATTTGCTTTTAGTATCTTATCAAGCCTGCCTGATGAATAATGCAGAAGAATAAATTAGTAGCATAAACGCAACGTATTCTTCAAATCCTATACTATAGTGAGTGAAAGAGAAGTAAAACACCATACATATAATACAGTCTTGTTTTATCGATCTTGCTCTGGCCCAGAGTTACTGATGAGGGGTGAAGTTCCCCGAAACCGGTTTAACACAGTGACGAGTACAGAATCGAATGATAGAGTGGTCTTTATTTTTAGCTTGTTTGAAACTACGATATATAGAACATTCAGCTCGTGGAGGATCACTCAGTTACTTATGACAAATTAACTGTTTCCAAAAACATTAAATTGTACTGTATCATGTATTATAAAGGAATATATAAAGCTTTATTGTATCATGTATTATAAAGGAATATATAAAGCTTTATTGTATCATGTATTATAAAGGAATAGATATCTATTCCTTTATAATACATGATACAGTACAGCTTTATCTATTCCTTTATAATACATGATACAGTAAAGCTTTATCTATTCCTTTATAATATATGATACAGTAAAGCTTTATATATTCCTTTATAATATATGATACAGTACAGCTTTATCTATTCCTTTATAATACATGATACAGTACAGCTTTATCTATTCCTTTATAATACATGATACAGTAAAGCTTTAAAGCTTTACTGTATCATGTATTATAAAGGAATAGATAAAGCTGTACTGTATCATGTATTATAAAGGAATAGATAAAGCTCTACTGTATCATGTATTATAAAGGAATAGATAAATTGTTATTGTATCATGTATAATAAAGGAATATATAAAGCTTTACTGTATCATGTATTATAAAGGAATAGATAAAGCTTTACTGTATCATGTATTATAAAGTAGTTGGTAAAGTTGTACTGTATCACGTATTATCAAGGAGTTGGTAAAGATACTCGTGTTGGACATAGCACAGATAACATATTGTGCAGCTTTGGGCTCATCAAGAAAAGCCTCCCCAAGTGTGAATGCTGTTCCGCTACGTTTTGTACACCTCCTCGCACGGTGGCCTTACCTTTGTATAAGTCGTTGGTGGTTTCTCGGAGTTTGGTTTGCGATTAATGTTGACCGGATTTCATTTCGATCCACTGAGATCTTAAGGTTACAAATATCAGAATACTGGGAGACATCAACTTTTACTACTCGAATCACGACTGGAGACGCGAAATGATCTGGAGAAGCCATGGTTGGTAATGGAAAAGCGAAATAAAACGACGAAATGGGTTTCATGAACAACAGTCATAACGGAAGACATATAAGTGACCGCTTTCTATTCCTCTCACTCTGTTTTACGTCTTTCCGTAATGTTACGAACATCGGAAATAATGTAAAAAAATACAGTAAACGATAACAGTTTTAAGACATTTCCATTGAACTAGTTTACAACAATAATTACTAAATTATTCCCATTAGTTCAACAGATGAACTATGTTTTAAGACATTTCCATTGAACTAGTTTACAACAATAATTATTAAATTATTCCCATTAGTTCAACAGATGAACTATGTTTTAAGACATTTCCATTGAACTAGTTTACAACAATAATTATTAAATTATTCCCATTAGTTCAACAGATGAACTATTTGAAGTTTAGTATTTATCTACTTGTCATCTAATGCAACTAATAAGAGTCAATATCCACACCTACTCATCAGTATCCACACCTACTCATCAGTTCGTAAAGTGGCCTTGTTTTTAGAACTCATTTACTCAGAGGATGTATCTGCTCATAGTCGTTCTCCATTTTTAAATGATAGACTAGAGAGAGAAAGCAGATAGCCAACAGCGCTCACCATTAGCTCATGAACTACTTTTATTTGACCAAGTAGTGGGATTTGATTGTCACTCTTATAGTACACAAACGGCCCCCTAAGAGCGGAGTGATTGTTTTTTTCTGTGGAAGCGGGACGCGAGCCATAAACCCTCGAATTTACAGTCCGTGCATGTTAACCTACTAGACTGTACCCTACCCTTAGTGTTAGTGGATGTTTTGTTTTAATCTGCGTAAAATATGCAAAAATGAGGACAATAATCTATTTGTGTTTGCTTCGGAACATTCTGAACTCGGTGTTTGCTTCGGAACATCCTGAGCTCGGTGTTTGTTTCGGAACATTCTGAACTCGGTGTTTGTTTCGGAACATTCTGAACTCAGTGTTTGTTTCGGAACATTCTGAACTCGGTGTTTGCTTCGGAACATTCTGAACTCGGTGTTTGCTTCGGAACATTCTGAACTCGGTGTTTGTTTCGGAACATTCTGAACTCAGTGTTTGTTTCGGAACATTCTGAACTCGGTGTTTGTTTCGGAACATTCTGAACTCAGTGTTTGTTTCGGAACATTCTGATCTCGGTGTTTGTTTTGTTAGATTCTGAACTCAGTGTTTGTTTCGGAACATTCTGATCTCGGTGTTTGTTTTGTTAGATT